TTCTCTCTCTCTTACTCTGTGTTTCTCTATGCCCCCCCCTCCTCTCTTTCTCTCTTTATTTCTCGCTCGCTCATTCGCTTGCTGGTCAACAAGTTCTAAAACGAAAACAAAATACGAAATTTATTAGTGAGTTCCAATCGTGAAAGCCTCTTTGATCTCTCTTCATCAGCTTAAAGGGGATGCCAACATTACACGTGATCCAACTGGAATATCATTGGATTTGACACGAAAATCTGATCATGTCATTCACAAATCCTCTTCATCATTGTGTCGAAAGAGATGATTGTCAAAACGCTAAATGCGCATTACAGAAAATAGCACGCAATTTGTGTCCCCTAAGCCTGATTTAGGTGCGTTATTATTATTTTTAGGAATGTCTTCAACGTGATAGAAATTTGCGAATGGAGTTTTCGTGTCTCGTTGGCAGGAAGTGGTTTACTGTTGTCTGTCTTCATCTCTTTAGTTTTAGTACGAGTTTTACGGCAGCCGCAAAGGAAAAATGGCATAGGAATGCCGTAGATTACTGGTGTTACTAGAGAAAAACAAACATCCAAAACTAAAAAGGATAAAAAAATGAGAAAAGGAGATGAGAAAAGGATGATAGATTTTTGCTAGAACTGTATGAGCAAAACACATCAGAGCACATGCCAACCACCCACGTGATGAGGTTCATTGTAGTCTTTATCTTTATTGTGAGAGGTCTTTGGAGATGGCCAGACGTCGTTTGTTTTTGTTCATCTTTATTGTGTTATGTGCAGTAAGCGTTTACGGCACTTGCAACACAATGAGGTAATATGATTGCAAAACGATTAAATGTGTTACAAGATATAAACATGCACAGAAAAAAAGGAGGAGAAATAAGGACGATAAAAATTAGACTAGAAAGAAGGAGCGAAACACTCCAAAACAAACGCCAACCACCCGCGGACCAAAAACCTGAGACGACTGTCTGCAAACCTCTAAACCTTTTGTCGTCTCCAGATCGAAGCGATCAGATTACGATTCCATCAGAAAAATGTCTTAAATTATAGCTGAGGAGGGCTGAAGATTTTGGAAAACTAAAACATCAGCGCATTAAAGGATCGATCAATGGCAATTTCTGTATTGTTAAGTTAGTATCTAAACGAACAAACAAACTGAAGGACAGTGCACAAAACAGAATGAGCTCTACTATGCACCAAAGACATTTTATCACCAAATAAATGTAAAAGCAAAAGGAGGGCCAAGAAAAAGATGGATCGATGGAGTCAAAGAAACTCTCCAAAGGAACAATATGACGATCCAAACAGCATCACACCCGGCCTAAGTCCGACAGCAACATCTCCCATCGACACCCTGTAGTATAAGGGGCCAAAACAATTTTTTTTTAAAAGATACAGAACCGTTCTACGAAGGGTGATATAGTGATACGAAATCCCAAGATATAAAGTTTGACCGGAAGTACCCACTGACACTGCAGAGCACACATCCAAGCAAAATTAGATATCGTGATTCTATATCTGGAAACAGTGGAAGCAGTTTTGTAAACACGAAGTAGAACTCTGTGACACACACATACGAAAAAGCACAGACCGCACTTCAGTTCTTGCTAACTACTCCAAATCAGACTTTAATTCAGTGCTCCAAATACATCCAGTATGTAGAGAGATCTAGATGTAGAGTCTTGCTCTATAAAAAAACCTACGTACCAAATACGCGCCAAATTTTGAAAACGTCAATGCAACGAAGTAAACATTTTGTGGGTCTAAACGAACTTAACGTGTTTGGGACATGACTACATCGCAAATGTATCCAGAAAAGTCAATACAAAGAAGTTTGGCCTGAAGCATCCATTGACCCTGCGAAGCATACACCCAAACAGAGTTGGATATCGAGATTCTAGATCTGGAAATAGTAGAAGCAGCGGTCTCTCACACACACGAAAAAGCATAAACCGAAACGGTAGAAGTTCCCAGTAAAATTAGAAATACTTATGTCAGAGTGAAAACATCTGAGAGCTTCGATTTACAGTGAAAACCACCACACCTGAAAAATCCAAAGGTAGTTTCCGAACTTTGAAAAATGACGTTTTAGAAGACGGACTTCCTCAAGGGTAGATCTAAACGAAACAAATGAAAAACTGAAAATTAAACTACAGTGACATCAGGCTCCTCAATAACAGTGTGTACCCTTTAAATGATTCTGAACCACCATTAATTTTGTCAAATTCGAAAGTTAAGTAGTTCGGAAGTATTAGGCGGCCAAAGTGTGAACTTTCACAAAGATAATACATAGAGATAGAGATGATAGATAGCATGCTTTTTGTATAGTGCAAATTCGCGCTCAACAGCAAGCTCTGTGCGTATATAGTGCAAGCTGCTATATTACAGGAGTCAAACACAAACATGCTGACAAGATCTTTTGGCGCCTATGCCCGGGTATCTATTCACACCTGGGTGGAGTGTGAAAAATTCGTTTAAAGTGTTTTCCCAAAGGACACAGCGTCGGCCTGAGGCTC